AGCTATAAGGGTAATGATTCTGTGGCGTCTAGGAAGAAAAAAGTGCTTCTTGTAGACAGATCTTTTGCTTCTTAAAAAAATTATTTATTTATCAGAAAAAATTATCCTGGAGTGAGTTCTAACAACCTTTTAGTGGGGCTATAGTGAAAGTTGAACTTTGGATTCACACCACCTGTTCCGCACCTTTCAACGGGTAATTAAGTACATCTGGAAGGGCATCTTTTTTACTTACATATTGACTACTTGTTGTTTATTACTTTTTTTAAGTTACTTGGTTTATCCAACCGTCATGACTGCGATTTATGCTGTGCTGACATATCCAGAGGGTATCGGAAAACACATCACTGGTGATGTAAGTTAGCTGTCAAAATAATTTGAAATTATATTTGTGCACACGACCGCCTGGGATTATAATATCCAATCGAACTGGTATTTACTAGAGTAATTTACTACGCATTTTTCAGCCCGTGTACGGACGTACAATCCAAGATTTTTTTGTCAATTGCACTTGGCACTCAGATCCACTTATCTTTATATCCTGCGATCGAGACTTGACTTCTCGGTGGAGTGCAGACGGTTCAATCTTTACTAATCTTGGTGTTTTCATTGTATTCTTTGTGAGTTATTTTCTCTACTTCATCGTCATTTCAAATGTATAAAGCTTCTATATCAGTCTAGTGACCGTTGCTATGTTGTCTTCAACACTTGGGAAGCGTTTTGCTTATTGAAATAAATTATAGTTCTTTTTCGATATCATAGCTAGTACTTTACCAGTTCCGGCAGGAATATTTATGCCTGCGTTTGTTCTTGGCGGAGCAATTGGACGGTTTTTCGGTGAGGTTATAGCGTACAACTTTCCAGAAGGTGTAAGAAGAGACCAAAGCATGCTTATTTATCCAGGTGTATATGCCGTAGTTGGTGAGCAGTTTGCTTTTTTTATTTTTGCTTTTGTCATTAACCATCGTCTTTAAAAATCTTCATTTGAAAAAAATTATAAACCGTATTTTAGGAGCAGCATCGTTTTGTGGCGCAATAACACATACAGTTTCTGTAGCTGTTATTGCTTTTGAGATAACCGGTCAATTGGTTCACAGCTTACCAGTGATGGTTCGTGGTTTCTAAGTTCTGTAGCAATATTAACTGTGAATCATGGTAGAGAAGAAATCAATTGTAATTTTAGATAGCTGTTATCATTGCGAACGTAGCCTGTTCGTCTTTTCAGCCATCGTTTTTTGATAGTATAATTAAAATCAAACACCTTCCTTACTTACCAGATATTCCGAAATCGACATCTGGGTAAGCAAATTGTGTTTCTGAGTTTTTTGACTGTTTATTATAGCAAGATTATGGCTTATTAAACAGTCTGTCAAGAGCAAAAACTCTACAGGTAAAATTTTTGTCTAGGATTCACGCTGTAAGAGTTGAACAAATAATGGTTCGGAATGTGAAATCGGTGAGTAAAAAGACCACATATCGTGAACTTCAAGATATGCTGCTCGGTATGCCACGTTTAAAAGCATTCCCTGTTGTGGATGACCCAGGTAGTTTTTTTTTTCTTAAGTAAAGCTCTATGTTTTCATTGTTTTCAAACTTGGGTTAGACTGTTCAAGAAATGCTTATTATTAAGCTTTTTTAGCTACAAAACTTTTACTTGGGTCCATAAATCGTCCCGTCTTACTTTGGATGTTAGAAAGAAAGGTGGGTGATCGTGCCAGAAGTGCTGAAGCTTTGAGGAGAGCTTTTATTAAACTACAAGGTGTCAGCGTGAATGGCGATTTTCCAGAAAAAACAAAAAGGTAATTTTTGGAAATTTTTGTTTTTTAAGTCATCAGGGCGCAAACCGAAAAAACTGGGGTTTGTTCAATGCGTGTATATATGGAGCGGGGAAGCGTTTTACTGGTGGTATATTTATCGTTCTTAGTTATAATATTTGGTTTACTGCAGTTTCTCAGTAGTTCCTGCATGTTTAAAAGATTGAAGGCAATCTGCGATGATGAAAAGCAACAGTGAAGTGAAAGCTTCACATGGCTTTGAGGAGGAAAGCTAACTTTTAAGTGATCCTGTTTTGAAATTAAGGCTTTCTGCAAAGGAAGAAGACTTTAAAGCGGATTTGGAACTGAGTTCTCTTCAGCAATATCCAGATGTACCGTTTTCTGTTTGCGGAAGACCTGATAACAGCGCTGACGAATGTGCTAGCAGAACTCCTCATCACAAAAGGAATAAACTGGTGTCTGCTTATTCTATGCAAGAGGCTCGTAGCACAGTTGGAGGTATGAAACATATGCGTTAGAGTACTTTTTGTGAGAATTTGTCTAATAAGCACTATATAGTTGGCTGAACTGTATTTATTGTCAAAGTTTCTTACTTTAGAAATGCTCCACAGCGTTACAAACAATTTTCAAAATCGATGCTTCAAAAAACACGAAAGAGTAGAAGACCTTCATGACGAAGAAGTATGTTTCCTCTAATCTTTTTCTGTATTTTAGGGCAGTCACGTAAACTACGTTGTTTTGAAATGCAGTTTGGCTAGTTTAGAAAATGGCTAGTTTTTTTAAGACGGCTATGGCTGGCTTATTTATCGCGAGCGATTTACTGCCTTCAATAGTTCGCTCTGTTGTGTAGTTTTAAATTTTTGATTTGATGCGTCATTGAACTCTTACTCTATATTATCTCACAATTCTGAATTGAGTGTTGTTCTCTGCCTTTGTCACAGCAAAAAGCTTTTTTTGAATCCTGTTACGATAATGCAGGAGTCTTGTGGTCGTGCTTAAGACTATCCTTTCAGTCCTTTAAAGGTAGATTAAGCTTTATATAAGAAGTCGATATACAGTTATTCCTTTGTGGATTACATTTGATACTTAGAAGAGCGGATGGGGGAAGGTTCTCTCTGCATTAGTCTGAATATTTGGTATTTTAGAACAGTTAGCATTTTGAATATGTCTCACTGGAAGGTTCTAGCTCACAGTTTGCACTTTTTATTGTATTTATATTTCTTCCGTTATACGAACAGAAAATAAAATATTTCTGTTTCAGCGAACCGTATGGGAACAGAATCAGTTGAGCAGCTGTTTAGAGTTCGTTGAAGATACTATTGATCCTTCCCCATTGCAGTTCACTGAGACAACATCGTTGTATAAAGTTCATTCAATATTCTCTTTGCTTGGCCTTAGAAGGGCCTATGTTACAAATCGAGGATCTCTTGTTGGTGTCATCGCATTGCGTGAGGTAAGATTATGGATCCACGACTATTCCGTTTAAGTTATTGCATTACTTGTAACTTTTGTTGCTTAATTTTAATGTCTGCTACTGACTTTTCACAGTGGTATGTGAAATTTCTAATTTTTGAGCGAACTGCATTTGCGCTATTGGCAGTTGAAAATTCAGGTGCGCGCGGCTATTGAACTGGTTGACTCTGGTGAGTTGATATCTGCTGTAGCTGCTGTGGGAACTCAAAATAAGTGCGCTGTGGATTCAGGCAGTTCAGGAAGTGAAGACGTCGAAACAGGTCAGAGTGCAGTAGCAGATAATACTAACTCGGACACGGACGATGATGATTGCATAATGGTAAGTTGAAGAATTTTTGTTTTTCTTCGAAAAGTTTTAAATTACTTAATGATCAGATTCAGAAAGGTAGGAAAGGGAAGTCCAGCAGTTATGAAATGATTTTGTTTGAGAGTACTAATTTAAGCTGCGTTTTGAAAAGAGTTGGGTAAGGACCTAATGCTTCGCAGAGCTGCATTTAAGAAAAAATTAGGCTGCGAAATTATTTTTATTTGTAGCCGCGAATTGAAGTGGACGATAATGATTCAAAGCTGCAAGTACTGTTGAGTGATTACCATTTGGAGGAGCAATAAATTTCTGTTTTGTGGATTCGTCAGGCGGTGATGTACCTCGTTTTTTTATAACTTTCATACGTTTTCAAGCCCAGTTATCTGCGAATTACTCTTTCTGCAGCAGTAGCTTAGAAAAGAAATTAATTGTTGAGTGACCCAGAATAATAAGAATACAGCAAGACATAGCAGGTGTTATATTTTTGACTCTTTTTGATAATTACTGAGCTAATTTTGCTAGTAAAATTATCTATTTTTTATTTAGCACAAAGTTTTTGTATAGAAGAACCAGAAGTGAATCTTCACTTTTCTTTAGCAATTGGTTTATTAGATTCCGAAGAAAGTAACAGTTTTTTAAACAAATTTTCAGGAATAAAGTCCAAACCATTTTTGCTTTCTCAACGGAGAATCATGTGACGGTCCCATTTACAATTCAGAAAACGTTGGTTATCAGGCTCACATTGAAAAACAGGATTTGAAGAACGGCCAAAATAAATGTTTAGCAAAATATCACTTGTGTTTCCTATTCTCTTTCT